AGACCCAATCTTTCTGCTAATGATTTAAATATACATATATTAAAAATATGAATATATTTAAATTTATACAGCTCAGCATTGAACTGGTAACTTGAAAGTATGAACTATTCATAAGAACCAGCTCATTAGAATGCTTTAGTATATAATAAATAGGAGATAAAAAGTTACAATTTTGAAAATTCAGAATTATGAGATTAAAAAGTCAAAATTAAGAGATATAAATTTATAATCATGATATAAATGTTGACTAGATCTCCATATGTGACCCTGAACCACAAAACCAATCTTAAGTCGCTGGGGTATATTTGTAGCAATAGCCAAAAATACATTGTATGGGTCAAAATTATTGATTTTTCTTTTATGCCAAAAGTCATTAAGATATTAAGTAAAGATCATGTTCCATGAAGATATTTTGTAAATTTCCTACCGTAAATATATCAAAGCGTAATTTTTGATTAGTAATATGCATTGCTAAGGACTTCATTTGGACAACTTTAAAGGCGATTTTCTCAATATTTTGATTTTTTTGCACCCTCAGATTCCAGATTTTCATATAGTTGTATCCCGGCCAAATATTGTCCTATCCTAACAAACCATACATCAATGGAAAGCTTATTCATACAGCTTTCATGTGATGTATAAATCTCAATTTGAAAAAATTGACACTTAAGACTGTTTTTGTGGTCCAGGGTCACATTTCGGCTTTTTGTGTCAATTTTGAAACCGGTTTTAATTAAATTACTAAAACAACCATGGTTCAGAGTTATTCATGAATCATGTATGTTTTTAATTCGGTAAAATTATCCATCTTATAAAGAGTCGTGTTAATCCAAATACACTCGTTGCTCCTGAAGAAGGCTTTGAAGCCGAAATGTGTAGATCTACCTTCAATTAAAGGCTTTTTATTGCTACTACGAGTGCTTTGGAGTAATTCATCATTCTAGTTGATATTGACCTCTAAATATCCAAAGAGCACCGTTGATTATGTGAGAAGACCAGTGCAGCATTCTTAGACCCTATTGTTGTCAACACTTGATGCGCTGTTTGTTTTGATGTAGGGATGCACCGATATGGAAATTTTGGCCGATACCGATAACCGATTATTCTTTATTTTTGAAAGCCGATAACCGATATGTTGGCCGATAAATCTATGTCCAAATTGTTATATATTTTTTGAGAGCCTGATTACAAAAAAGGTCTCATCATTAAAAGCCACATCCCAAACACTAAGCAGCCTAGTTTGAACGGTGTACGTTTTAAAAATAATTTTACTCTCCCATTACCAAATTTAGTCATAAAAAAGTCTTACAAATAAATAAAATAATGCATAAATAATGCAAACAAGTCACTGGACATCATTACACGTGTAAAGAATCAAAATTAATGCGCCATAGATCAATAAAACGGAATAGCCTCTGCACGGACAATAATTAAATGATTTGAATTACTAAACCATATTGTTGATGAAAATAATAAGAGAAAAATACAAGTGGTTGTTGTTATTAATAATATATCAATGATTTTGAAAAAGTAACAAATTAATACCACTGTTTTAAATAGCAGCCATTGAGCTGCAGCTCAAGCTGAAGCTGAAGAGCTGAATGAACACGGTAAACTGAAGCGTTTTGCTGGCAGCTTATTTAACTCAAGGAAATGCATCCTGAGATTAATATTAATACAACATAAACATAATATTACAACTTATATATGAAATGACAAATGACGCAGTTATTGCATGCTATAGTCAGAATGTGTGATCCTGTTGTGGATGCGCTCTTCCCATAACAACGCGCTGAAACACGGCAACTAAACCCAAAGAATTCACAACGTTTTATTATAATAATGCTCTCATTAGAATGTTATATACACAACATTCCCAATCATAGTTATCAATGTTGTGCACTGCTGTTTGAGCTGCGTGCGCTGAGCTAAAGATGATCACCGGTAAACTGAAGCGCTCTTTTAACTTAACCAAACGCATTCTATATGAGATAAATCAGATATACATCAAATAAACACAATATTACAACGTACAATTGCACAAAAGGCTGCAAACGAACAGCGCGCATCTGAAGTGTCTCTGAAGGAAATAATGCATTATTTATCGGCTTTAAGATATCGGCCAAATTTTCTTATCAGGCCGATACCGATAACAGAAAAAATGAGCATTTATCGGCCGATACCGATATGGTGGCCGATATATCGTGCATCCCTATTTTGATGTCCAACTGTAAGATGTTTCTTGCCATTATTTTGTAGTACACTGTGTTTTTATAAAACTGCTAACTCAACTCTGGAAAAATAATATTTGTTTTTGCTGTGTGGCTTTTAAGATTTAGCAGCAATGGCATGGATTCAACAGCAGGGGAGCTTTCAAAATCAATATACCAGCCCTAATCAACACATAAAAAAGTAATAATCAGTGATAACAATGACCCTTATGTGGTATTTAACACAAACACAAAAAATCTGTACAGGGAGCATTAATGCACAGTGCACAACTTGTCCATCAAGGCTTCTGCTGAACAGGTTTAGACTGGGCATGGTGTCAGGCTCCATGAACAGAAAATTAGTGGAATCACAAGCTGTTAAACTATTTCCTCGCTGAGATCAGACTCTGCACCAGAAAGGACATTATGGCAGAGAAAAAGGGGGTTGCGGAGTGTGAGGAGGAAAAACTAAATATGTACTCAATGCGCAGTTATAAATCTCTTCCTCTGCTAATCAAAAACAAACCAGATGATGGAGGGAGAAGAGCTGGAAAACAAAATGTTTTAGGTCAATAAAAAGACAGATGATGATCTATAATGGTCTAATTGCAGATTCAGGCAAGGAGAGTGGAAAAGGAGAACAAGAAGAAAGGACAAAACCTAAAAGGTAAAAAAACAAGAAGAGCATAGAGATGGAAGAATTCTGCCTGCACAAATTCCTATATATTCTCACATTGCACTGATGCACATACTTGAGCAATGGAACAGCCTCTTATTATTCTGAGGGAGAGATGCCAAAATGACAATGAAGACTTTTTTCTACTCTTTATGGATACATAAAGCTGGCTAGATATTTGGAGACATGTAGATCTAGAAGGTTTTCTGAGCTGGAGTGCATGAAGTGACAAAAACAAATGTATTCTCCAGTACTAAACATTTAAAATGCAAGTTAAATTAGCTTTGCACTAATGAAAAGTAATGACAAATCTTCCTTCTTATCTTGAATTTGATTTAAAAAAAAATCATAAATGCTTCAGCCTACATCTGTCCATTGGCAGAAGATGAAAAAAAAATCTGTTTCCGATCATGCACATTTATGACCACTATGTTTATTCGTTCTTTTTCAGTTTTCCCTTTGCTCAAAAACCAGTTGCCATATGCTCAAAAAATGCATTGTTTATCATACACTCAATTTAAATGTCAATTACTGCATCTGAGGTTCAAAAGAGGTAAACTAAAGCAGCCTGATGTTATGCAGCCAATGCATAAAGAGAACAGAACAACTGCTTCCATCTTACAATGTTGCACTCTGCTGACACACTGTGGTGGACCATGTGCAACACATCTAGACTCTCAACAACAGAGACCATCAAACAATCTTCAACAAAGCTTCAATGAATAATAGAGCCAGTTTAGAGAAATGACAGGTTTATTATGGATGAAAACTGCAATGACAAAACCAGTGGCAAGTGAATGAACATGGCAGATCAGCGTATCCCTTCCTATCTAACATCAACCTCACCCATCCCATGAGCTGGGGTTATAGAGAGAGGTGTCATACAGAGGACTGTGGACACTGCTGTTCTGTCCCAACCATTCAATTGGCACAACAGGCATTCTGGGCTCACCCGCTGGACCAGAGAAAGCTGCTCAACCCTTTCTCAGATACAAGGGGGAGAACCAGACTACCTTATCTTCTGCTGCTCAGACTGAATGAGAGAAGAAAAAGAGTTTCCGATGCACATCATCCATATGTCTCAACACAATCATTCAGAATTAACTGCTGCCCCTAAAATCATGACACATGTTGAATGTATTCTAATGAATGAAGAACCAGTCTAACCTAAACTAACCAACGTAAGGTATTTAGGAAAACGAACCACAAGAGAGAACATTAACCTAATTTTACCAGCATATGTAAATGTTACAAGGATGTCCTATTAAAACAGGTGGAACATTCAGACCTATGCGGACTGTACAAGATCAGCATCACCTAAAAAACACTTGAAAATTGGATAATTACATTTAAATCTTTGACACAAATTCAATATTGATTGTACCAATAAATATCACAATTAAACAAATGATTATGATTATTCAGGCCCCAGGATACACTGGTGTGACAGTCAGATGGCTTAAACGAAAAACACTCGATTGTCATTTTAGGATCATTGCTATTCAAAGCATTTGACTGATCAGGAACTCATTGGAATGTTTTCTTGGTAAGCCTGGCTTCATTTTAGTGTGAGGTCCCAAAGCCACCACCTCATTAAGCAGAAAGAATTAAGCTCCGGATAAGGTTTAAACTAATTTACGGAGAAAAAAAACTAAACACCAAAATGTTTTCGGTCAAACATTTTCTAGAGTAAGGAATAGTTCACCCAAAAATTTACCTTTTATTCTATTATTTACTCAACTTCATGTTATTCTAAACCCATGTGTTGTTATTTTTTCAGAGGAACATGAGCACTTTTTCTTATAACCATAATTATTCACTCATTCAGTGATCTGCTACTCAGGTTGACAGATCACAAATTTAAACAAATTTAGTTTGCTGATAGCAAAACGTGACTTTCTTACTCAATATTTTTTTTCCATTCCAGTGCAAATAGCATTTAACATTTACTTGAGAAGCATAAAGAAACTATTTTCTGTCTGTTTTCTGAAAAAAAAAGTGAGTTTAAATTTAAAACAAGAAAAATCTTCTTATTTGCGGTAAGAAAAATCCTAAGGAAAAGGCTTAATTCAAGAGGATAGCAAGTTTATTCATACCCTATTTTTTCTTGTTTTAAGCAGGAACTCATCTCATTGTGATACATTTTTCAAGAAGCAAGATCTCGGCTTGCCTCTCAGGTTGATGTAAGAATGTTTAGATATTTGTGCTAGAAAATAAAACTACTACAGAGTAAGAAAATCACTTTTTGCAGTGTCTGGCTTAAAGAAACTTAGAAAATAGCGCAGAAGAACTACTTTTGTAGACATGGTCACTATGATCAGTTGTATAGAAAACTGTAGCCGGTGTTCCACAAAAATTTTTTAAAAAATTAACATAGCAGCATACAGGTTTTCATCAACATGAGGGTAAATAACTCAGCTTTGGTGTTGTTTAGGTGAACTATTCCTTTAAAGAACAGCTGAAAAACCGCTCAAATGGCAAAAAAGGGAAAGAAAGTGGAGGGGTGTGTGTTTGAAAGAATGAGTAGGAGAACGAGAGATGAAAAATGTTTTGCTTCTTGTCCATTCCATCTCCCACCAGGTAAATCGAAAAATTTTTGGTCTGTTGCTCTCAACCCTTTGGTTGAACAGGGGGAGGAAATGGACAGCAGGAGTAACCACACATACTCTGTCCTTCACACAAACTCCATGTCTGTTATGGCCACACACACACTCAAATCTATCAAGCTCACTTAGGACATGATGATCACTGAGAGAGTTGTTAGGTCAGCTGCACCTCAGGAGGACTGGCATTATTGTGGCTCCCCTCCTGTGCACTGACCACAGAGCCACGGTACGGGACCTCTATGATCCGAGGTTTGTCAATGATGCGGGCGCAACGATTGCCCTTCTCCACGATGCCAATGATCCAAGCCTGTTGCCCATCGCCCGCCCCTCCGTTCTGCCCCACAGCTCCCGACAAACCCACACGACTGGATTTCATCTCGGCACAAAAGCGGGCTGCCTGCTCCCGCGGCAAGCAGATCAACAGACCACCTGAGAGAGGCAGGAAAAAAATTTGTATCTACCGAAGAGCTTGGAGAAATCTCTACAGACCAGGAAAGTCAATTTTCAGGAATTTTAATAAACGATTCTTTGATTAATCATTAATGTTAATACCGCAAAACATAAGGAGGACCTTTAATATAAAGTGTATTTACTTTAATTCAAATTTAACCAATCAAACGCGAGAATTTATATTGTTAGTCCACTGACTGTATGCTGTTCAGTGTACATATATTACCTTTAATTTATTACTATTAATAATAAAACTAAAAACAAAAGATACAAATCTTTCTCTATTAACATTTTCTAAATTTGTCAGTTGGGATGATGCAGGGAGGCCGACGAATGAGCAGTGCTTTTTGTTAAAATATTTGAAGTGACAATCTTTACTTATACAGAAAGGATCCAAAACGGATTATGTTAAGGCACTTCAGGTTTCAGTGTAATTTCAAAGTTATGACAGTCATTACTGGTTCACAATTGTGTTTGTGCATTGAGCTGGGACTCTCACCTGATGTTTCAGAAGAGGTGCCCTGCAAAAGCCCAAACAGGTTTCCTCCAGCCTTGCTGATTGCGGCCATTTTGGAGATAATGGGAAGGTTGTGAATGACGAAGGCAACATTATTTTTCTGCTGCTGGGCGAGATTCCGTGCGTGACCTATGATCCCGAAGCCTGTGATGTCTGTGGCAGCGTGTGCATTAAATTTGTGCATTAAGGCAGCAGCTGGAGAGAGAAAGAAAACAAAAACAACATTTGAAAACAATATAAAACTGGTTGTATTTGGCAAAAAAAAAAAAGAAACGCACACACGCACACAAACTGCTTAAAGTACCTTTATAATAAGGTAGGCTAGTTGTTAAGATTATGGGGTGGATTAAGGGAATCTAAAATATGGTCATGCAGGAAAAGGCATTAATATGTTCTTTATAAGTACTAATAAACAGCCAATATGCATGATAATAAGCCAAACGTTAATAGTGAGAATTGGTCCTTAAAAATTTTTTTTAAATAAATTACCAATAAATTTTATCTTTTCCTTTTTTTCCCTCACCATTTGAAAAGTAAACATACAGGCCATTTGAACTACTACAAAGTTGCCAAACTAGGTTATGTGTGTACTGAATATTGGTCCTACTGTTAAAATTAATCCACGCTAAGAAAGCTTATGCAATGACATACCAGTGCGATTGAGGGTGGCCATATTGAGCATAGCCTCCTGATAAGCTTGCTCCACCTCCTCCCTGGATATCACCAACTTTATCTTGTTCCACTTCTCAGGCTAAATAAATTAAGCATAAAGGTAAACAGATCCAGAAAGAAATGAGATGAGATTACAGTGATACATGTGGAGTTGTTATCTCTTCAAACATCTACAAAAAGGGGGAAAAAACAGACAAGCAATCATTCCAAAGACACTCACTATATCCAGCCACTGATGGGCATTCACTGCTACTTGAGTTCCCAGAGGTTTAGTCAGAACTAACACATCTCCAGGTACAGCACTGTCAGGCCTGCAAACATACACATACATGTGAGCTTTTACACAACTAAAACCGTGAAGTGTCACACAATGGATATTCACTTTGATAATTGTAGAAATATCCATTAAGGAAAATCTGAATCATTCAGAACCAAGTGTACAGACACAGTCCTTTGATTCACGAGAGAGCAGACAGAGACACTCACATGATGAAATCATTGGGCTGGCACACCACAGAAGCTACACCCCCGACGATGATCCAGGGATTGATGACTGTTTGTCCCCCGGTTACCGAAGTCCCAGCCTCCTCTGCCGCATCACGGAAGCCCTTCATCATTAGAGGCATCACCTGATCTCTCTCCTGAGAGAACAACAGCACAGTACAAAGAAAATTAACCATTTCACACTCAGCATCCCGAATTTAAAAATTTAAAAAACTATACATAGAAAACTAACGAAACGTAAAAAAATGGAAAACAAAAATGATCGAAAATGAACGCAGAGAGAGCCCAGCTCACCTTCTCATTCATCTTCTGACTGACGCTGAGAAGCATGAGCATGTTGTCACACTCTGTGATGCCCATGGCATACAGATCACTCAGAACATTTGCACAAGCAATTCGTCCCTGTAAAAGAATGGATGTGAGTGCCATTTATTTGTAAGTTCCATGCTAACATTTCCAAAATATTAATAGAGATCACTCACCATCATGTAAGGATCCTCCACTAAAGGATAGAAGAAATCTGTGGTTTGGACCAGGGAAAGACCTCCATGCCTCAGAGGGATCACACATGAGTCCATTCCAATACCTTAATCCAAGAAAGAACTCCCAGAGGTTTAGTCAGAACTAACACATCTCCAGGTACAGCACTGTCAGGCCTGCAAACATACACATACATGTGAGCTTTTACACAACTAAAACCGTGAAGTGTCACACAATGGATATTCACTTTGATAATTGTAGAAATATCCATTAAGGAAAATCTGAATCATTCAGAACCAAGTGTACAGACACAGTCCTTTGATTCACGAGAGAGCAGACAGAGACACTCACATGATGAAATCATTGGGCTGGCACACCACAGAAGCTACACCCCCGACGATGATCCAGGGATTGATGACTGTTTGTCCCCCGGTTACCGAAGTCCCAGCCTCCTCTGCCGCATCACGGAAGCCCTTCATCATTAGAGGCATCACCTGATCTCTCTCCTGAGAGAACAACAGCACAGTACAAAGAAAATTAACCATTTCACACTCAGCATCCCGAATTTAAAAATTTAAAAAACTATACATAGAAAACTAACGAAACGTAAAAAAATGGAAAACAAAAATGATCGAAAATGAACGCAGAGAGAGCCCAGCTCACCTTCTCATTCATCTTCTGACTGACGCTGAGAAGCATGAGCATGTTGTCACACTCTGTGATGCCCATGGCATACAGATCACTCAGAACATTTGCACAAGCAATTCGTCCCTGTAAAAGAATGGATGTGAGTGCCATTTATTTGTAAGTTCCATGCTAACATTTCCAAAATATTAATAGAGATCACTCACCATCATGTAAGGATCCTCCACTAAAGGATAGAAGAAATCTGTGGTTTGGACCAGGGAAAGACCTCCATGCCTCAGAGGGATCACACATGAGTCCATTCCAATACCTGCAGATAAGATAATTTTTCACCCTCTGTAATTTCCTGCACAGTGTGCATGTATATTTAAAGAAGCTTTGATTAATCATATAATATAGGTACTTAAATCCTTATAAAACCCATTCAGTTGGCAACAGTATGAAGCATTTTTGTAGGATTACTTATGATCCATTTTGCAGTGGAAAGCATTCATTTATAGCCTGGGTTCATAGTTCACATCTCTTTCAAATGATTGCATTATACTTCCTAGTAGTTTTTAATTAACAGGATAAGCCAAAGGTTAAACAAAGAGTTTTACAAACACAGATGTTCTGTGATTTTTCGAGACTGAGACTTACGAATAACATGAAAACAACGGTACTTTGTAGTACATAAATAGATGACAACATATTGCATGCTGAAAAACGTCTGTAATAAAAAATAAATTAATATATTAATATAGTCGTTATATAGTCAGGTTAATCATGGTATATTAAAGGACTGATGCAGGAAACAAAACGGTTAGTTTCTATTTTCAGACCTCTCGATATGCACAGATAACGTGCGCTTTCGTGATTTCTTTGACATTTGGCAATGATGGGGAGTCTGACTCATTTCCGCGACTCGGTTCTTTTGAACAGTTCGTTTCCATGAACCGGTTCACAAAACCGATTCAGTGATTTTTTTAAGATCACAATAAAACCATAAGTAATCAACAGATTACTGCTTACTAAAGTTTTTTTTCTATTAACCACATTTTGTTTGATGTAACTATTTTATTAAATTCACCTCTTATTGGGAAATCCTATAATTTAATAAAGTCCAAAACATATTTCCAGAATATTTTATGTTGCTTTTATCAGTCAAATTCCTGGTTCACTCCATATGCACTTACTATCAGTAAGAGCAAACTCAGTTTGCTGATTTTTGAAACTATTCAACAGATTCATGAAAAAGATCCGACTCAAACGAACGAGAGGTTCACGGATCAGCGTTCGCTGTTTGACAGCGCTGGTGTGACTGTGACAGGTCAGTCATACTTTACCTAGTCGAGGACCCTGAGCAACTGAAACAAGTCCGAATTCAGCGGTCTCGTCTCCAACACCCGCCCCCGAGCCGCCGTCCTCTCCGGGCGGGCGGTCCGGCTCTAGTCCCTGCAGGAGTTTGAGCAGAGTCTCCTGCGGGACTTTACACCCTCATCCCTTCATATCGGAGAAGGCCGTGAGCCGGAAGCCGCGGTCTAGGCCGTGCTCCTCCGGGTTCAGCGCCTGGTATCCCGCCGGGTAAAAGGCTCCCGCTCCGCCAGAGTCCACTGACGCTGGCTCAGAAACTGACATGGCTAGAGAGAATTTTATTTACTCCTCACTCAGATAGTGAAACAAGGGAAATGAAAGAGAAGGGGGAGTCGTTTGACGGGATAAATGGCTGACAGAATCAAGAGAGCGTGTTTTATCTGCACGCTTGGTCATAGAAACGAGTGTGGACGCGGCGCGCTAGCGGACTGAACCATCTCACCCTGCAGAGGGGAGGTGAGAGTCACCGTATGACACTAGTTAGAGAATTCATCGCTGACAGACAGAGTACAGCCAGAATACACTCAAACCACCAGAGAAAGTGTAGGAAAATTAATCTCGCACCAAATTTAACTACGTCTAGGATGTTTTGCATTTGACTGGTCACGCTTAAACCCCCTCAAATATAAGCATCCCACAGGCTGCTATCGTGAGCTCCGCCTATTGTGGTACTGACATAAAGGTGCATCAGAAATATTCATGCAAATATACTGACAATCCCAGATACTTTTTTTTATTATTATTATGCAAAAATTATACAAAGATTTGTACAAGCATATGCAACAAGTACAAAAACAAATAAACATTCATAAGAATATGTAAAGTGAAACAATTCATACCAGGGGTAAAATTACAACAATTTATAATAACAAAAAGCTTCATGGATCTTTCTTGCTTTTTTTTTCTTAATTTTGTCTAATGTAGTACCATGTTGTTTAATCTCTTTTATAAAATGTTCAAAGTTTGGCTTAGCTTTAGACCATTTTTTCACATGAATGTGATATTTTCCAATTAAAATTAAAAGTGGTGTAATCGTACTTTTGGAATCAACATTGTCCTGTACAAAAAAAAAAACGGCATCATACAGATTAATTTGTATACATGTTCCAAACAACCTAGAAATGAAATTGGGGAGGGTAACAATGGTCTTGAAATTCCTCCATTTGTACATCTGTCTGAATGTTTGTGGAGTCCAAACTCTTTAGAGATGGCATTGAAACCTTTTCCAACCTGATGAGCAACATCAACTCTTTTTCTGAGGTCCTCAGAGATCTCCTTCGTTCCTGCCATGATTCACTTCCACAAACATGACCAAACATTGATAGATACTTGTTCTTTAAATAAAACATGGCAGGCAATGACACCTGATAGTCATTTCACTGAATGAAAACACCTCTGAACAGATGGACTCTTAATTTCACCTTCAAATTAACTGCTGATCCTAGAGATTCACATACTTTTGCACCGCACAGATATGTAACACTGGATAGTGGATACATTTTCTGAAATAAATGAAAAAGAAAATATCTTTGTCTATTTTCAGGACGTGTGAAAATCTGATTATGTTTTGAGTCATATTTATGCAGAAATATAGAAAATTCTAAAGGGCTCACAAACTTTCAAGCGGCACTGTATATATATTTATATATTACTGCAAATAATGATTTTAAGGATGAATGTTTTTACGAACATTATACATAATATAAAATGTATGTGTATACACACACACACACACATATATATATATATTAGTGCTGTCAAACGATTAGCATCCAAAATAAGTTTGTTTACATGTTTGTGTACTGTGTATATTTATGTATATATAAAAGCACACACATACAGCATATATTTTGAAAATATTTACATGTACATATTTATATTATATATAAATATATTTAAAATATAAATATTACATATATGCATGCATGTTTGTATTTATATATACATAAATATACACGGTACACAGATATATGAACAAAAACTTTTAGTTTGAATGTGATTAATCGCAATTAATCATTTGACATCAATATATATATATACACACACGTGTGTGTAAATATGTGATGTCAATGTTAATGGGGTAGGGTGGTTAATTATACAACCTCTTTATAAAAAATGAGTCAGGAAAACTTTGAGAAAATTGTTTATTCCCATAGTCAATTAATTTCATCGATATTTGGGACACTTCACAATAGAGAACTGGACTATGATGATAAGTCACAGATAAATCACCTCAGTCTTTGTCTTTCTGAGGTTTAATATTAATAGCACAAATGAAAATTTGTATTTCTTTGTTTAAAAAAAAAAAAAAGAACATAACACCAACTTTGGCTATTATAATTAATGTTAGGGAATGGGGAATGCCTCAAGACCAGTTTGAACAGTGTGGTGGAAAATTGACTTTTCTTCTCATCTCAAGCCTGGATTGCACTTTTGGTGCTGTAGGCCAGGTAGTAGACCATAATGCCAATCAGAGCAGCCAAGACCTCCGTGGACACCCAGGGACCATTCCATGCACCCTGCAATTCATAAATACACTGATTAATAAACATACAGAGACAAATCACACAAAAGCATAGAAAGTAAACAAGTAGTAGCAACACATTCCAATGTGGAGGTATATTTGTTAATATAGGTTTACAGGTTTTTCTTAGCCCTAAATATTACACAGATAAGGCGATTGTTGACAATGAAGATTAGTATGCATATTTACCCTGTGATCCACACTGACAGAGAACAAAGGCTTGATAACATCAACATCTTCATTGTTTCTCTGAGCCTGAAAGCATTAACATTTTTATCAGCACCGTTGAATATACAGTCCCATCAATTATGTTAAATGGATATTGCACCCAAAAATAAAAACTCATTATTTACTCACCCAGACATGTACTAATTTCTTTCTTGTGCAGAACCCAAAAAACTATATTTTTAAGAATACTGATAACCAAACTGTATTGGTGCTTATTAAGTTAAGGCATTCTTCATAATATCTTCTTTTATGCTTCACAGAAGCAAGTAGGTCATGTAGGTTTGGAATGACATGTGGGTGAGCAAATGATTTCCTTAAATTGACCAACCTTTCTTAGAGTACTGTAAGACTCCTCGTCGAAGAATTTGACCTGATATGTGCCTGAGCTGGCCTGCTTATGAGGAACACTCCATGAGACCTGGACAAAAATAAATCAATAGAACAGTTTGTCACATATGTTGAAGAATCTTACATGTATGGCTTTGTTAGAACACCACAAAGGGATAGTTCACATAAAAATGAAAATACTGTCATCATTTAACTCACCCTCAAGTTGTTCCAAATCTGTATGAATTTCTAAAGTTATTTTGCAGAATGTCGATACCCATACAGTTGATGGTGACCGTTATGGAAAAAAATACTATGGAAGTCAACAGCTACCATCAACTGTTTGGTTACCAACATTCTTCAAACTTTATTATGTTGTGTTCAGGAGACCAAAGAAGCTCATACAGGTTTGAAACAAGTGGAACAAATGATGGCTACATTTTCTTTTTTGGGTAACTATCCCTTTAAATCCTCTGTAACCTTGCCTGGTATTTGCCAACATCTTGGCCTCTGGTCACAGGAAACTGCTTGCCATTGACGTCTGCATAAAGAGCAACACTCTGAACACAAAACACAAGTCCGGTCAGTCCACACTTCTGTACCAATAAAGCGTGTATACATGTACCTTTTAGTCCACTCACCTGAGCTCCGTTTGCGCACGCCAGACTCAACTCAACGATGAAGACGGTCTCGGAGGAGATGAGCGCGTCTGTCGTCGTGTATGAAGACGGAGAAATGGCTGGGTCTGTGCAAGTCTCAGCTGAGGAGAGAAAACACCGGTCACACTACTGTCCTTACGAATAACAGGTCACATGTCAAGTTTGGTCACTGACTTAATTAAACCATAAATGTTTCTAACAGATAGCTGTGATAAAAACGGAATCAATTCAATGTAGCTTGAGACAACTCGATGTTAGCCTGTCTGACGATAAGCGAGGAGACTGAAAGCCGCGAATGAATGATGTTGTATATCGAACGTTAATAGAAAATTACCTGCACAAAGGCTCAGACAAAGAGCCAAAATCGCTGTTATAACGCTCATGTTGATCGCTAGGCAGCTGAATCCACCTCTACTCACTCAACCCTGAGGAAAAAGAGCAGCGGTGCTACAGACACGTCACCTCAACGGAAGAGTGGCTCGTCTGCTAGCGAGTGCGCCTCTGGCGAAAGCCGCCGGTACTGCAGAGCAAAGGCTCACAACCAGGGGCCGCAGCAGGCTTCCAAGAGATGTGAAGTGATTATTTAAAAGGGTCATATGATGCGATTTCAAGTTTTCCTTTCTCTTTGGAGTGTTATAAGCTGATTGTGCATAGATAAGATCCCTGAAGTTGCAAAGACTAAAGTCTCAAAACCAAAGAGATATTCTTTATCAAAGTTAAGACTCTGCCACGCCCCCTGAAAACGGCTCGTTCTAACACACCCCCACATATCTACTTCACTATGTGGAAGTATTAGCATAATGCGGCCCAAATATGCACGCAAAGAAAGGCGTGGTTTCAGTAACTGCAGTGCAGAGACGCTGTGTGTTTCAGTGCAAAAGCACTTTATTTGGCCTTCCGAAAGTAGATGCATTTAGGAATCATTAAGATTACTTACAACAGAACAGCAATGCATTTTATGGACGACTGTTTCGTGAACCTAGGAGAGGAAGTAATTCTGACTTTGCTATGACAATCTGGCGCTTCTGAATCGGCTACTGTTTTGTTATTAGTTTAAGTATTTGCTATTGACTGTTCAAATGCGGAGTTTAGCGCATCGTGTGTGTGTGTGTGTGTGTGTGTGTGAGAGAGTGAGAGAGAGAGAGAGACAGGGTCACATCACAGTGGAGTCAGCTGTCTTAACCGTGGCTTGTGTACTGCAAACACATACCAGCTTCATCACTGTGTCTGTCACGCGACTCTGTTCCCCTTTCAGGCTCTGTCTTTACATTTATTTTGAAAGATGAAGCTCGCGATTATGGTAAGGGACGTTACATTTCCGACGAGTGCTTGCAGTGTTTGTGCCAATCAATGCACTGGGTCAGCTGGCCAATCAGAGCAGACTGCGCTTGTCAGAAGGAGGGACTTTGTAGAAAACAAAGTGTTTGAGAGAGGCGGGGCATAGAGGACCTACAATAATGTACAGTATTTGAAAAATGATGTGTTTTTTGAACATTAAAGCATGTCAACATATTCTGTTACACCAAATACACAAACTAATGATCTTTAAAAAAGACCCCTTTAATATAATTGTAATTGATGTTAATATTATTATTAATACATCTAAATAATTGCACTTAAATAAAATGCTAAAAAAACACATACAAATAGTTTTTACTATTAATATATTTTTTCCTGTTTAACCAAATAAAAAGTGTTGGCAAATGAGGGGCCTTGACGTAAAAAAAAAAAGCATGAGAACCACTGGTGTAGAAACTATTTGAAAAGTTGGGAAGACATTCCAAAAGTAGCTGTAATCTACTAATAAAAGAGATTAAAAATAGAAAAAGAAATTTTAAGATGCATTTACTAATTGCTAATGATTGCCACATCTGCATGATTTTCCACATCCCATTATTAATACTTTTAACCAACTGGTCAAGGGGACTTTTTATTAAATGTATTATGCATTGTTGTATTATTGCAATGTAATAAATATTTAATATTTTTAAAATTAATATATATATATCAATATATAAAACTCAATTTTAATTAAAACTTGTGAAATGTTTGCTTGTGCAAATTAACAAAAACAAATTTCACTTGGTTTGCTATTTTTAACTATTGCAACGATATAATTTTATTTGCAAACATTAGTATATATATGCGATTAAATAGGATTTAATTTCATCAGTTAATCAGCATATCATAATTCAACTGAAATTTTTAATTTACAGTGCTAATATTAATATTATAATATAAAAATCTTTGGTCAAAATAAGAAATGGATGAAATGACTATTTTGAGATTTGCAAAAGATTACAGTTCATAGTTTTTAAGTTATTTTTAAAGATTATCTTGTGGACAGTTAAAATATCCAAAATGGACCAAAACCAATAAAAATAAAATTAAAAACTCAAATCTATTGGTTATAATAAAATAATTATTATTTTTGTAAAATCTTGACTAATGCCTTATTCAGCAACTCTTTTGAAGTTTTTCATAAATGTAAGTGATTTGTAAGTACACAAAATTATTCTGCTGCACACACAGTATGTGCTTGACAAAAGAAAAAGTTTATATATTCATACTTTTATTTCTTTAAATCTCTCCATAACAATAGTCTGTACAAAGTTCTTGTGTTTTTTTCATATTCACTTTGGCTGATAATACACTATTAACACAGGCGGGCATGAATCCTCAAGAGTGCGTACATCCAGAGAAACAAATACCACAGGTATACAGGAAACATTGTCACTGTCAGATGTGTGCAGACGTAAAGCAGACGCAAACATTCACACGTGCAGCACATTACACTACGCTGTCACAGAAAGGCAGTACAGACAAGCTTTTTTTGTAAAGAGATACACACACTAAGTGTACAGAAACATGGTGGCTGCTCTATAGCCACATGATAAAAACATCTGCTAAACATCGGCTACCTGTCTACTTCAAGTCAATTTGCATCAGGATTAAATTTTCAAAATCCTTAGATGGGTCTTGTTCTCTTTTCCTACCTTGAGGTTCCTTCTTGCTTGAGTCTGTCTATCTCAACTAGTGCCTTACTCAGCTCCTCCTGCAACTCTTCCTTCTTTTGATTGAGTTTCTCTCTGGCTTCCCTCTCAGCCAGGAAGTCCATCTTATAGATCTCTGCCTGCAAAAATAAAATGTGCAGTTGTGTTTGTGTTATTATATGCAACATGCATGCTGAACATGCATTTATAACAGGCTAAGACATACTAAGTGAGCAGAGCACTGTAAGATTAGTGTGCAGGTGTTATATTCACCTGAGCGTTCAGCACTGGTATAGTCTCTAATGCAGCTCTCAGCTGCTCCGTTTCCTCCTTGAGTTTATCAATGAGATCCTGTTTCAGAGCCAGAGCTTTCTCAGCCTCTGCTAACCTGTTAACTAGAGTATCTGCCTCGCCACACTGTAATGGAAATTACCACATGTATGCTTTCTGTTAACAAATTTATAGTGAACCATGCACTGACCTATTTTCAAAAAACATCAAACAGTCACAGTTTTCCAGTTTTGTAGCATTTAAATTAAGACTTTGGTCAATGACTAATAAGCATGTCCACTATAAAGAACAGAAAAAATATTTTAAAATGTAGTTTATAAATCTAGTTCAAAATATTTTATAAATAAAACATTTTTCAAGGAGATACTTGAAGTATTTATTAGAAATATCATGAATTATTAATAAATGTTTATTTAGGCTTATTGACTTTCACACACAATCACGAGGGTTCGCATGGGTTTTATTGATATAAATGTACTATATATATATTTTTTTTTTTTGTATGTTGGTTGCACAATATCAGCGTTTGTGTTACCTAAAACTAAAACTATTACAAATCGCTTTCGATAACTGAAAAATCTGAAATAAATAAAACTTACATGAAAAATTCAATATGTTGCCCTGTCATCTAACTGAAATTAAATAAGTTCAAGTACTGTAATCAATCAAACTAAAACTGAAATATAAAAAAATAAAACATTTTTCAAGGAGATACTTGAAGTATTTATTAGAAATATCATGAATTATTAATAAATGTTTATTTAGGCTTATTGACTTTCACACACAATCACGAGGGTTCGCATGGGTTTTATTGATATAAATGTACTATATATATATTTTTTTTTTTGTATGTTGGTTGCACAATATCAGCGTTTGTGTTACCTAAAACTAAAACTATTACAAATCGCTTTCGATAACTGAAAAATCTGAAATAAATAAAACTTACATGAAAAATTCAATATGTTGCCCTGTCATCTAACTGAAATTAAATAAGTTCAAGTACTGTAATCAATCAAACTAAAACTGAAATATAAAAAGCTAAATATATTTTTTAAAAATTAAATAAAAACTATGATATATATATATTTATTTTTCAAATAAAAACTATGATAGCAATGTTGAAAATTGTGTCTTAACCAAACACCACACAAATCACAAACAGCAGCTACCTACCCTGTGATTGGCTTGCTTTTCACTTTTGAGTTTTTTGTCATAATCCTGAAACAAACATGTGTACGCATGTTGGAGCTGGGCCAGCTTCCTCCTAGATGAGGAAGAGCAACAGGAATTGTGGGTTACTGTTACAACCATAACAAAGAAAAAAGGAAGCTGCGTTTGTTACAGGGTTCTCCATCCAACTAAACCCACCTCTCCTCCACTATGACGAGCCTCTCGTTCTTCAGTGCAGTTTCTAGGTTCTGTGTCTGCAGTAAAAGATTGTCCACTGTCACACTGTGCTGCTTCTTCTGCTGCTCCATGTCTCTCTCTAAAGTCTGCAGGCGTTCGGTCTTCTTGCCCAACCTGGGAGATCAAACAGGTCTTGTACACACAGCTGCTGAATCTCATACACAAACACATGCACAAGGACGAAGAGATGCACTCACTTATCCTCTAAAATTCGTCTCTCTGCTTCACTTTTCTCCAGCCAATTTTGTCGTTCATTCAACTCACCGAGAAGGGACGTGACCTGAGCTCTCAGAGCTTCACTATCCTTTGTCAGCTACAAACACAAAGATGATGATCACCCATCCCAAACTACTGCAAATGCTGCCACAGCTCAGCATAGGAAGAAATGGCTTTTGCATACTGAATCACAGGTTGTGTCTGCGTTTATGTACCTGAACAAAGTCCTTCTCCTTCTGTTTGAGTAGAGCCTCATTTCTGTCTCTCTGAACAGAGCTCTTCTGAAGACAGTCCAGCTTCTCCTGGAGCTCCCTGTACCTACATCACAGCAAAGACACAACCAGGATTAACAGTCCATCTTACTGCAGTTCACCACCAAATGCACCAATTCATTCCTTATTATCAGTACGGTTTCTACATTTTATCAAATCATCTAATTAAAAAGAAAAAAAAGAGCCACAAAAACTGAAGTGTGGGGAATATGTAATGACCAAAATGTTAAATCAAAACTACCTTGTATTTTAGCTTCTTTAATATACTTGCCTAGATGCAAATTCTGGCCAACAATGAGATTTTTGTGTATGCTAGGAACT